TCGGTATGAACATGGTTCCGAGAAATATCCTCTTATAAAGTTAAGAAATGTATGAAAATTTATAATTTTATGTATATAGATTCATCCCCAGTCAATAGTAATAATAATAAAATATTTTTTTCCAAAATTTGGAGTGAAAATTATGTTTTCTTTCTGCGATCGCAGCATCTTCCCTCTGTTATATAACAGCAGAAAAAGTAATTAATTAATTTAAAAGCAGATGTAATCAGTATTCTACTATAAACATTAACATCCAGAAGTATACAAAGGGAAAACTGAAAAATATTTGAATAATTAAAAGTGCCTTTTATTAACACAAGGATGGCTCGATAAACTATATCTGCCTCAAAAATGTTTTTAAAAGCAACGTTTTGAAGTTAAAACCTATAAATTTTATTATATTTTATGTCAACGAGGAAGACTTAAACCCCCGCTGCCCCCCTTGCATCCGACACTGATTACAAAGATTCTCAAATACTCAAATGGCCAGGTGTGATCCAATATCGTAACCATACTTCATTTGTTCCAAGTTAACAAACAGGCACAATTAGTATCACAAGAAACACCTGCTCAACCCCACTTTCAATCAAACCTATAATCGAATTTTTTTTCTTTTTTTTTATCCTAAAGATAAATTAAAACAGTAAAAGGAAAATATTCATTGAAAAATTGCATTTATTTCAACGTTAATAAATTACTATTTTGTTTTTTCTTTAATAGAAATTTTAAGATAAATAATCATTTTTTAAAATATATTTTTAGACGCAGAGGAGAGGCCTCGTGTCATAACCTCCAAAGCAGAAAACCGGAAGAAGAAGCCATACAATAGAAAAGGGTCGAAGCTGTCAGTACTGGTGGCCTCCTTTCTGGATTATTAAGAAGAGTTAGAAGAATATTTATCTACAGAATTTTGTTTTTTACTCTAAATACTTACATTTTCCGTTTTTAAAGTTAATAGAACATGAAAAAAGTAATCCCATTCAAAAATGCTATTTTAGTTCGTTTAATATCTTTAAATTATTAGTAACATTTCAAAAATTATGTTTAACATATCTATATATTTAGAATGTATTGTTATACAAAAACTAATCTGATGTTTTTCATTTATATTGATTACATTTATTTATTTATTTTTGGATGCATTTAACTTTTTATGTGTTTATAATGATTGAAACTTCAAAATTATTTTTTTTAATTAAATAAAAAAATATTGACAGCTTACAAAAGCTTACTTCTGTAAAATAATTAGATAAAATATTAGTTAATTTTGTTTATTTAATTAACTAATTGAAGCAATTTGCCATTTTCTAATTCACAAATTAATTTATGTTAATATACCTGTGTATAAACTCATAAAATATATATATATATATATATATATATATTTTATGAGTTTATACACAGGTATATTAACATAAATTAATTTGTGAATTAGAAAATGGCAAATTGCTTCAATTAGTTAATTAAATAAACAAAATTAACTAATATTTTATCTAATTATTTTACAGAAGTAAGCTTTTGTAAGCTGTCAATATTTTTTTATTTAATTAAAAAAAATAATTTTGAAGTTTCAATCATTATAAACACATAAAAAGTTAAATGCATCCAAAAATAAATAAATAAATGTAATCAATATAAATGAAAAACATCAGATTAGTTTTTGTATAACAATACATTCTAAATATATAGATATGTTAAACATAATTTTTGAAATGTTACTAATAATTTAAAGATATTAAACGAACTAAAATAGCATTTTTGAATGGGATTACTTTTTTCATGTTCTATTAACTTTAAAAACGGAAAATGTAAGTATTTAGAGTAAAAAACAAAATTCTGTAGATAAATATTCTTCTAACTCTTCTTAATAATCCAGAAAGGAGGCCACCAGTACTGACAGCTTCGACCCTTTTCTATTGTATGGCTTCTTCTTCCGGTTTTCTGCTTTGGAGGTTATGACACGAGGCCTCTCCTCTGCGTCTAAAAATATATTTTAAAAAATGATTATTTATCTTAAAATTTCTATTAAAGAAAAAACAAAATAGTAATTTATTAACGTTGAAATAAATGCAATTTTTCAATGAATATTTTCCTTTTACTGTTTTAATTTATCTTTAGGATAAAAAAAAAGAAAAAAAATTCGATTATAGGTTTGATTGAAAGTGGGGTTGAGCAGGTGTTTCTTGTGATACTAATTGTGCCTGTTTGTTAACTTGGAACAAATGAAGTATGGTTACGATATTGGATCACACCTGGCCATTTGAGTATTTGAGAATCTTTGTAATCAGTGGCGGATGCAAGGGGGGCAGCGGGGGTTTAAGTCTTCCTCGTTGACATAAAATATAATAAAATTTATAGGTTTTAACTTCAAAACGTTGCTTTTAAAAACATTTTTGAGGCAGATATAGTTTATCGAGCCATCCTTGTGTTAATAAAAGGCACTTTTAATTATTCAAATATTTTTCAGTTTTCCCTTTGTATACTTCTGGATGTTAATGTTTATAGTAGAATACTGATTACATCTGCTTTTAAATTAATTAATTACTTTTTCTGCTGTTATATAACAGAGGGAAGATGCTGCGATCGCAGAAAGAAAACATAATTTTCACTCCAAATTTTGGAAAAAAATATTTTATTATTATTACTATTGACTGGGGATGAATCTATATACATAAAATTATAAATTTTCATACATTTCTTAACTTTATAAGAGGATATTTCTCGGAACCATGTTCATACCGAATAGTAAATAAATGAATAAACATCAGTTATATCACTTACTGAAAACAGATGGCAGCACTAATCATTCAGCTGTATTTTATTCTAACAGACACGTGACAATAAAACTGTATTTAATATCAACAAATATTTTTACTCTATATTTTAATTCTAATCTCTCAATTTAACCTTTATTTTAATATTATATAAAAAAAGACTCGAAAGTTTATTAAATCGTATTCGTTTCTCTGTTTTTGTTTCTTAAAAATATAAAACAGAATCATTTTAAGTCGCATAAATTCA